CGTGGATGCGTCTGTTGTTTTCGATGACTGAATGGTTGACTACAATAGAGAGTGTGTGGGCGCGAGGATTTAAGGTGTGTGTGATTTTTTTTCTTATTGATGGTCGTAGAGCCGGTGTGGTGCCGACCAAGTTTTTATTTTTTCTTTAATTCGTGTACGTACGCATGAAGAATGAGTCGTCGCATGGTAGGGGCAAGGGTTGACGGTCGTGGACTTAGTGGATGGGCCGAGTTGTGATATTGGGGTGCTTCAGTAGGCCAGATCGCCGTGTGGTACTTGCTTATAAGGGTGTCTGGCAATGCTAAACTCAACCTTGGGCCTAGCACTATTGGTTACGGTGTCGGACTTTTATCTGGAGATTCAGGGATTGAAGTCGGAGAGTGACGACACGAGAGCATCGGAGCAGCGCGAAGGAAACCGAGGGGTTGAGGGTTCGACGGGGCTATCCTCCGTGGTTTTGCTGCTCACGAGACCAAGTCCCCCACCTTTGCGATTTTTGTTTTTCTTTATTGGGATTATTTTATTTGGATAAAGTTGTTATGGCTTTTCGTTTATATGATAGCGGGCAAGCTAAGGGGGTGGTTAGCCCATAAGATGGAAGGAACACTGATTGCGAGAGCTCTTTGTGGCTGCGCCCGTCATCTGCCGTTTGTCGTGGGAGGTTTGGGTGTGAGGATGCTTGTTGGAGCCCAAAGGATGGTGAATCGTAACCGGGCGCAGTGGGGCAAAGTGGCTCGGGGCGCTATAAGGAGTAGAGTGGAGTGAGGTAATTGCGGAATCAGGGGCCTACTTACCAGCGGTACGTGGCCCATCCAACCAGTAGCAGTGGAGGAAAGTCGGTTGCGAAGTTGCGAGAACAGTTGTTGACCGGTGTGTCGTTTGTTCCACTAGAGTGAGTTAGATACGAGCTACAACAAGAAAGTAATAGAGGAAGTACTTACTTGACAAGGCTGAAACTGTGGAAAGGTTGAGTAATTGGAAGGTGGTGGTTGTTGCTGCGGTCCAGAGGGCCATAGAAGGTCAACGCGGCGTCTTGGGTTATGGTTTGACTGTATCTTTGATATTTTTGCCATCATTGTGTGACCCTCATATGTATCAAGGGATCAAAACCCTCTCACGCGAGTCTGAGTGCACCATCTTTGGATCTGAGAAACTTAATGTTTCTCTATCTGCCCTTCTTACCTAAAGTCTAATCTATTGGTTCTGAGAGGAAGGCGGCAGACGGGATTGCAACCCGTAATTTGTACCAAGGCTTTTGTGGGAGGTTGCCCCACCGATTGTGGAAGCTCTGTCGGAACCTAGGCGAGGTTCTCGAGGCACGAAACTAAGTGGTAAATCTTCATCCCCTTCTATAAACCCAATTAAAATCCTTACTTGTACAACTTGCTACAATTTGACTAAGTATACTGCATGCATCCCAATTTGACTTTATGTTTGCCTTTCTAGACTTAAATCAGGACTAAGTAAAGGAAGACATGCACAATCTTAGTTTTACTTTTGTTGTTTGTCTGAAGTCAGATTGTAAAAAGGTATTGTATTGGTGGAACGCGGGAAGAAGGTGGTTTTGTTTGTGATTGACCGGGTCAACCAAAGGTTGGACATTGTTTCTAAGTTGAATGACCCGATGCTATGTTTATTTTGACTGCCGAGAGGACAAAACAATTGTTCCTAACTTGAAGTTGGATGGTCTGGTTCCTCTGACTTGTGAGGGTTGTTTGTGCTTGCTTTTCAGGGACCAAAAAATTGTTCCTAAGTTCGATGGCTTGATTGCCTTAGTTTATTTTGGGGTTTCTATTGTTCATTTTGTTTCTGAAAGAGGGAGTTTGATCAATTGTTCTGTAAGATTGGATGAGTCAAACTTTTCCTTGTTTATTCCGAGAGGGAACAAGGTGAAGATCCGAACAATTGTTCTTAAGTTGGATGGTCTGGTTTGGAACCATGCACATGTTGGAACCAAATGATAAATTTTATCATACTCTAATACTATTTTATTTATGATGTTGTTAGTCAGACATTGTTTCTAAGTTGAATGGTCTGGCTATAACTTATCACAAATAAAAAGAGTATCAATTAAGAATAAATTGATGGTAAGAAGAGGCAGGTTGAACCTTGTTTCTAAGTTGAACGGTTCAGTCATATGCTACCCTAAAATATTAAGTGCAGAAATATATATACACTTGGCTACTTAAACAGTTTAGGGCGACCAGGCATTGTTTCTAAGTTTGACGGCCCAAATAACATAAAAGTTATAGTGCCCTGTATTTGTGTATATTAAATGGTTGAACAAGATATTGTTTCTAAGTTTAGCGGTTTAACTTTATGCCTTATGTAAGCTGGGTATATGGGATAAATCACTGAAAGACTATGAACTATTATTGACAAGGTTTAACCTTTAGACTATGTGAGAGTACTTACCATTATGGTTTGGACTTGAATGTGGCTAAGTGAGAGTTTTAGTTAGTGTGAGTTTCAGTTAGATAGATAGTTGCTTTAGATGTTCGTCATGCGCTCGAGTTATAAAAGTTAGTTCAATTTCTGCATTTCTGAGCTAACTTTTTTTACTTAGGTCAATTACTAAATTTTATGGGATCGTTTGTTATACTTGGCTTTGTACAAAATTTGGAAAGCTACTTTAGCTACGGGAAGCGCCACAAAATTTTTTACAAAACCAAGCAGTTAGTCAAATCTAGTTTTTTTAAGTTCAATTTTTTGTCTAAGTTTATATCTAATTGAAATGAAATATGAAAAACATTATTTTTTAGCGGAAGTGTTGCCCAAATGTTTGCTAATTCAAGGAGTTAGACAAAATTTGACTTTGGGAAGTCAGAGTCATTTCAAATTACTTAGCTTTGTAAAAATTTTGGAAAGTTACCTTCTCTACAGGAAACGCTGTCGAAAGTTTTACAAATCTAAGGATATAGTTAAATTTTGTCTTGATAGAACTCAAACCTTATTTCGATTTTTTATTCGACTTAGTATAAATCTAAGAAGTTTGCTGTTCTAAAGGAGATGCTGTCCAAATTTTCACTAATTAAGGGAGTTAGACAAAATTAAACTTTTTAAAGTTAAGGATTATTTCAGTTTTCATATTTGAACAAATATAAATTCTGAAAATACACTTTTCCTACGGGAAGCGTTACCAAAATTTTCTTAGTTTAGGGGAGTTAGATTATATTATAACAGGTGACACTACTGGCAATCCACCCTGCATAGGGAAGATTCTGTCAAGGTTGACCTTTCTTTGGACATTAGTTTAGAGGTAGACTTCGACTTAGTTCTCAGGAGAATCTTGAGTGAGAATGTGTTATGGAGAGTTATTCTTCACACACTGATATTCTAGCTTTGGGCATTGACCTGTTTTGTGTTACATACCTTCTTTGGACATTTCAGTTCAGGATTGGATTAGTTTGAGCTTGATTCCACGAGGATCATCTTCCGTTATCACTGATAAGAGGTCGGTTGTCGATTCCTCTGTTTACGATTCAACTCCAATTCACTCTCGCCAACTCGACCTGAAGGCTTTGGCCGTGTGGTTTGAATTGTTTCGTTGGGTTTTCACCTAGACTTTGGAGAGGAGGGATTTTATTGAATGGTAATTTAAACCACCACTCCCCCCGCCAGTATAAAATGTCGAAGTACCGGTACGCTATAATCGACCTTTTTTGGCTGCGCGACCAGTTATTCGCGGCCTACCGGGTCCAAGCACGATTTTTTGATTGAGATGTGGTCCCCGGTGAGCCACCCGCGGTCGGATGGTGACGTTCGAGACTGATGTCTAAGTTGCTCCTTCCGGACATCGACGTGTCCGCCCCAAAAGTATTTCCAAATTTCCGATTTTCGGGAAATGCACATTAGTTTTCTATTTTTTTGTTTAGGTGATTTTTTTTTATTATTATTTTTTTTAATCTGGATCCGTTTTCACTTTCGTGCCAGCGGAGGATACGACAGCGTCGTTTCGGGCGAGACGCGTGACGAGCCCACCCTGTAAGCATCCACTGTCGAAAAACTACAGATAGGTGGTTGATCTTCGTGCACCAGTAGCTTTCATACGTGGCACCCCATCCTCGCAGACCGAACCGTAGGGGTGGCCGGCCATCGCGACCCCTGCTCGCTGAATGGCTGACGTGGTGGGAAAGGCTTACGGGTTGGGAACGTGGTGGTCGTCCGCACGTGGGCTGTCGATGGCACCACGAACGTGTGTGTGTGTGTGTGTGTGTGTGTGTGTGTGTGTCACGGTGTGTGTGCTGTCTCTTATACACATCTAGATGTGTATAAGAGACAGGAAAGGGGGTGCTAACTGCGCGAGACGTCCGTGAGGAAAAGCCTAGCCGGTGGGGGAAACGTGCGCCGAAGCAGATGGGCGACGGAAACGAACGCAGTAGGGCGAGGGAGCGGAAGGAGGGGAGGAAGGGAAGGGGAAGGGTGGGCGAGGGAGGGGGGAGGGAGGGGGAGGGAGGAAGGCCGTATTGAATGTCGACACAAGTTTTTTGGCCGTGCGCATGAGGCTATGCCCATGCATTCTATTCGGAGGACGATGGTAAACACCATATCAGGGCAAAATACAGAGGTACAACAGATCAAAAAAGAAAAAGAAAAAAAATGAAAAAAAATAAAAAAGAAGAGAAAGAGATGCCAAATGCGATCCTAAGCAAGCGTTTGGCTGAGTGTTCAGTTCTTTCTTTTCCTTTTTTCTCCTTTCCTTTTCCTTGGGGGGTGGGGGTGTTACCTCATTTCAAGCTTGTCGTCTAATAATAGAGAAGAGGAAAAAATCAAAAACGAAATCTAGAATGCCGAAAAGGATTGAAAAAATAAAATTTTAAAATCACTTTAGAACTTTCAAGGGGGAAAAACAAAAAAAATACATGCGCCTCCCCGACAATACCTGCTCTACGGCAAACAGCCTGGATCGCGACAACTCCGGCTCGTCGGGATACAAATATTCTACAGCGTGGGTCGAAACAGCTCTCTTGATCCGTGATGAACAGCGCTACCCTCATCATTATCGTCATGCTTATGATTTGCATCATCATCATCATCATCATCACCCACATCATCAACCAAGTGACCATCATTCGAGCTACCGTCATCCGAGTCATCATCAACCACATCATCATCATCATCCACGTGCTAATCGCCATCCACGTGCTCGTCATTATCATCCACGTCCTCATAATCACTGTTCATGTCGTCATCATCATCATCGTCGTTACCATCCACGTGGTCATCATCATCATGATCATCATCCACGTGTTCATCATCATCATCATCCACGTGGCAATCATCATCATCCACATCCTCGTAATTATTCTTCATATCATCATCATCATCATCATCACATTTCATCATCATCAACTCGTCATTTTTCATCTCACCATCATAATCATCATCATCATCATCTTCTTTTTCTTCTTCTTCTTCTACACGTTCATCCCCGTTCAGCATTGAAAACACCATTAAGTCACCTGGCATCATCAAACATCATTAACGTCCTCATGGCCATTGCCACCATTATGATCACCATCATCACTGCCACCATCATCAACATCGTCCTCAGGATCATCATCAACATCATCATCAGGATCATCATCAACATCATCATCAGGATCATCATCAACCACATCATCGACATCATAAGCCTGATCATTAAAATCATCATTGCCACTATTATCATCAACACCATCAGCAGCAAGATCCTCTCTCCTCCTCTCTCCTCCTCCCTCCCCCCTCCCTCCCCGTCGAGGTCCGTGTCGTTCTGCATCGTCTGTGATATGATCCAGACCTTCTCACAGCAAGTTTCCTCTTCCTTCTTTTTTCTGGATGATCAACTAAAAGGCAACTACGATTCGATGATCACGATGATCATCACCACCACCAGAAGAATCACCTGCCTCACTCTGACTGCCGCCATAATTTTTATCATCTACCAGTGTCCAGTAATTACTGCCAGTTTGTGAAAGGGGTAACTTCAGTAGAACGTCACAAAAAAAACGAGTTATAATTGCACTATCATAATGGGGCAAGATACAGTTCGAAATTGCACTTCGGGCACACCCTGCACCTGGCCAGAAAGCTGGGTTGTATACATTGCCCGAACTGCAATTCGAAACTGTATCTTAGGCCCCCATAGTGCAAATTACAACTCATTTTTGTGACTCCCGCGTACAAACTAATGGCGCGCCCCTCGTAAACGCCACCACCTCCTCCTTCTCGTGAATCTGAACGAGTGCCATCCGATCAGAGACCTCTTAGCTAGTAAATCTCTCTCTCTCTCTCTCTCTCTCTCTCTCTCTCTCTCTCTCTCTCTCTCTCTCTCTCTCTCTCTCTC